TGCCTTGGGAGATGTTGTAAATAAAACAATTGCACTTGCTCTTCCCAAGACAGGCGAACCCTCCTTGTTAGAGGCACCCCACAGACAGCTCACATCCCAGGGCTTCTCTGTCTCCCTCCGTCTCATCTGGGATCTCTGTCCTATTCTCCTGTTTCCCAGCAAGTCACCCTGCCAGGTCCCATTGTATGTCCATAGGGACCAGCTCTTCCGTCCTGCTTCTCTGAGGCCCCCGAGGCACTTGGCTGAGACAGAAACAATGCTGGATCTTCAATAGCAGATCTTAGAGGAACAGGAGGAGGAAGGGGGTCAGGGAGAACTTCTTGGAAGATCCCTCAAAGAGGCAAAGCAGACACTGGCTTGGACACCCTTGGTAAAGGGCACTTGTTCCTGTATAGAGCTAGAGGAATTGGCTAGATGACTCCAGATCACCTCGAGGCCCAAGGAGCACTGGATTCCAGGGGTGGGGTGTAAGCAAAGGGCTGAATCCCTCCCTTGGTTTCTTTTCTAGTTACCTGTCCTTGAACAAGTCTGAGTCTTGGTGTCTTTGCTATAACAGGATCATCTACCTACCTAGTTGGGGTATTTGGGGGTATAGTGGGGTGATGCAGGTTAAAGCTCTCAGCATGGTGCCTGGCACAGCGTAAGTGCTCCGTGAATGCCAGGTGCTATAATCTGTGTCATTACGAGGTGAGAGGTGGCAGCTGAGAAGCCGTTCTTGCCCCAGGATGCTTCTTTCTGTTCTTCATCCTGAAACTCACTTCAAGTCCATCAAATGCTGAGCAGCAGGGCAGGTGTGGGTGGAGGGCACATACAGGGACAAACTGGATCCCCAACCCAACCCGGCTAAACTCAACCTAAAAGGCAGCTCCCTCAGGCCAGGGCATCTCCTGGGTCCCCAGAAAGTGCTAGAAACCAGAGGACAAGGCTGGGGCAGCTCTGGATGTGGGGCCATCTGTGCAGGGATGGCTTAGAATATGTAGGAGGCTAAGGTCATGCCACTAGTCCCAGCAGGTCTGCACCGCGGCCCCTGCCCAGAGGCTGCTTTAGACCCAGGGCGTGGGGCTGTTCTGGGTGGCTTGCAAGCAGCACTGGAAGCCCAGCTCTCAGAACTGGGGACAAAGAGGCTGAGAGGACTGGTCATCAGTGTTAGTGATGTCCATAAAGACAACACATACACACCACGGTGCCCTTCCCTCCACATTTCCCGTGGCCTAGATACCCTCCGTGCCTGCATCCCAGGCCTACCCCTCTGCCTGGCTGGTTCCTTTTTAAGCCTTGGCCCAAATATCACGTCCTGCAGCAAGTCTTCTCTCTCTGCAAACAGAGGTAGCCACCTCTGCTCTCCCCTGTAATACAGCTCCCCCACCTAACGATAACAACAGCAATAATAATACTTATACAGCAGTTGCTAAATGCTAGAGGCTGTTCCGAGCTTGCTACATGTATTCCCTCATTTAATCCTCATAAGGACTCTATGAAGCATTATGAACTTCTATTATCTCATTTAGAGATGAGGAAACTGAGGCACAGGGAAGTTAGATGACTTGCCTGAGGGCTCCCAACTGTAAGCATGAACTCCAGCAGTGTGGCTCCAAAATCTATACCCTGTCTATGAACTCCTTAAGGGTAAAGGCAACATCTTGTTTGTCTCTTTGTTCCTAGCAATAGGCTCAACACACAGTAGGCACTTAGGGAGGAAGATGGACGGATTGAATAAGAATGGCCCGAATAAGGCTAACTCGGTGCAATTTCAGGCCCTGAGCTACAGTTCAGAGACACCAAGGCCCCCTGGGGAAGTGTCAGATAAAGGCTTCCTCCCTGTCTTAGTGAGCCAGCCACACAGTGCTGCGGTGTCCTGGACAGTGTGTCTTTTTGCATGTCTGTCTTCTGGTTTCTGTTTCTCAGTTACCTTCAACCTTTTGTCTTCCTCCCCTCTGTGTCTTGATCACTCTCCCCATTTCCTGTCCCATTCCAGCCCCTGACCATTGACCATGTCCTTCCCTGTGGTCCTTGCAGGTTTGAAAGTTTTCTGTCCCCGTCCTTTGCCTAGGAGTTTTCATAGAGTCCAGGCTTGCGGGAGGAGGCTGAGGACATAAGTGACACTGACTCTTTAGAATGGTCACGGACCAAGCTCCTAAACTCCAGCCCTGAACGAAAACAATTTTCCAGCCACTCTACCCTAGATGCAGGTGGGGGTGGGGAGGATGGCTGCTGGCCACAGCTTGTCGCACATCTGCAGAAACTCAGAGAGATTCCCTGTCCTCCCTGCCTCCTCTCCAGGGTCCCAACTCTTCCAATGCCTTCCCTGACCACTTGAAAAGGCTTATTCACATGACCATTCAGCAAATGCGGGTCGAGTCTAGTATTTTAAGTAGGGAGACAAGGCACACTCCTGAAAAGTTAGGGTGAAATGTGAGCTTTGGTAAAACTGTACAACTCATGGACACGGTAGGGGCCAAATGGACTGCAGAGAATCAGCGATTTTGAAATGGAGTCTTATATGACCCAGCGCAAGTCGTCTGTCCTCTTATTTCCCTCAGCTAGAAAACTGAGGATGACAGTGCAGGCTTTAGGAGGCGATTATAGGGACTGAATGGAAAATATATATAGTAAAGCTCTTAACAGAATGGTGCATAGTAGGTGCTCAATATACAATAATCATTGCTTCCTTCCTCTGTATGAAACACCAGCCTTCTATTCAGCCCTAGATCCCCATATACACATGAGAGATGAACTAATCCATCCTTTCATATCAGAAATGTTGACTTGAGCAGTGCCTGGTATACGGTAAGGAGTTGGGACTCACATGTTAGGGGTCATTTAGTGTGATGATGATGATTCACTAGGGTTGTTTATACCCCCCCCACACACACACACCAGATCTTTGAAAGAACCTGGTGGGCACAGAATTAATCAGCTGGGGCCAGGGATATGCAGCTGCCAGGCCTGCCAGCCTGGGCTGCTCCATACAGAGGATGCAGCAGAGCCCAGAGTGCGAGCGATCCTGCGGTCAGGATGTGCAGGAGCCACACGGGGCTGGCTTATGGTTTAAGCTGCAGTGTACAGAAAGAGAGGGGCAAAGGTGGAGACCTGGAAGGGAGGGAGAGAGATGTCTGGAGGAGAAGCATAAGGAGAAGAGTGAAGAACACAGGAAAGAGAGAGGAGGAGAAGGGAGGCTCGGATGAGAGAGAGAGTGAGAGAGGGAAGCTGCTGTCCCGGCTTGGCTGGAATGCACCTCAGATCTCTGAGTTCTCCCTCTCCCTCTCTGTATGGGGGAAGGTATGGATTTGGGGATGCTTCTAGGTGCTAGACCCTGGGCAGACCTCAATATCTGAAGCACTGAAGCCTTTCATTCCATCCTTTTTGAATGGTGAAGTCCCATCCCAGGCCCAGTGGAGGCCCTAGATGAGGAGGAGACAGTCTGAGTCCACTCTGGGGAGGAAGACGGCTCAGGAGGCTCTAACCCCTGAGCTCTTCGCCTTCTGTTTGCCCACAGCGGCACCTGGCCAGGAAAGTGGGTCAAGCCATCCACATGTGACTTTGAGGTAGCAACAGGACCCACAGGCAAGGGGGCGTCCATGCCCTGTACCCAGCTCTGTCCACCCCTTCTCTCCTTTTCAAAGAGAACTTTAAGGAGCAGTGGGCAATGGGAGGAGACCCTGGCCGTGTCAATCATGGGGAGAACACTGGGCCAAAACCCTTCCCTGGCTGGCCAGGCAGTGGAGCATGGAGCCTGTCATTGTCCTGGGTGAATGAAGAGACCTAGATCTTCCCTCCCCCATCCTCTCAATGATAGTGACCAAGCTGGCAGGGAGCCACCTCTACTGCCCAGACCTGGAGAGGCTGTTCCCTCCACTCCCCCACCTCCTGGGGTCTTCACGCAGAGGGGCTGCCTGCCCAGCTCTGGCAACCCGCGCTGTGCTCAGCCCACCCCCTCCAACCCTGCCAGGCGCCCAATTAGAAGCTGCGTTGGCTCCAACAGATGGGAGCTGCGGCAGCCTGAGGAACAGAGCACAAAGCCCAGCTGACATTTTCCTTCCTGTTCCTTTGGTGGGGGAGGAAGGACAGGGACAGAGGGGAACACAGCAACACCCTAGGGCCCACCCCTAGGGTGTAGCTCTCGCCCACTTCTCAGCGTCTCAGTGCAGCCTCGAACGGAGCCTCAGTTCCCCCTCACCCAGCCACTCCTTGCTTCTCGCTGGCTGGCCAGCCAGCGCCTGCGCCGCCCTTCGCCATGCCAGCAGGACAGACGGCCCACCTGTGGCTGGCCAACCCATCCTGTCTCCTGGGTGCTGCGGTGGGCTCAGAGTTACCCCAGCGTTTCCGCCGCTTCCCACTCTCAGCGCCCTCACGCTGAGCCCAGAGCCGGCCCATCCCCCATCCCAAATGTCCCATCCCAGGCAGCGATCAGACCCCAGCCGGCCGGCCTGGGAGGAGGCAGGCTCCTGGTGCCAGATACTTCGGACAGACGCAAGGCCAGCTTGTCCCTCCGCACGAACACACGAGCTCCAAGGAAGGGAAAGTCCCTGAGGTTCTGGAGCGCTTCCACCCTCCTTGTCCGCCCGTCACGCCCTCCCTAACCTTTCTGGCACCCCTGGGCTCCTCGACATCTCCTGGGCCCCGCTCTACCCAGCAACAGTTTCGGGGAGGTTCGGGCCTCTCCGGGCTGATTCAGGCCCAGACCCCTCCCCCGCCGCCCGGTCCAGCCGGTGCAGCCGGCCACCCTTTGCATTCTCCAGCTCTCCTTCCCTCTCCCGGCGGGCCGCCTTCTCCAGGTCACCAGCTACTCTGCAGGCATCTCGGCTGAAGGCAGCGGCCCGCCCCTGCCCCCGGCCCCCGACTCGGGTTAGGCGGGGCCGCGGGGCCGCGGGGGCAGAGGCTGGGAGTCCCGAGACTGCTGCTCCCGCCGCATCCCCCGCAGCCACGCCGGCGGCCTCTGGGTCCAGTACACCGCGGCCTCGGCGGCGCTCCCCGGGTGAGCCCCGGAGCCGCACACTCACCCCGCAGGCGCTGTCCGCCGTCCGCCACCCGTGGCGCGGCGCTCCGATCGCCTCCGGCCCGGGCTGGGGGACGCTGCTCCGCGCCCTCCCGCCGCGCGCGCCGCCGCACAGGCGGGGGAGGCTGGGGGGACGCCTTGCCCAACGTGGACTTATCTTGGGAGTGGTTGTGGGGCCAAGCCGATGCGGATGATGGCAGAATCACAACCTGTCTCCACCCGCTGCCCAAGGCTGGCGGGCGAGGGCCGGGCGCTCCCGGTGCGCGCCGCGCGTCTGCAAGTGCACGGAGCAGGCCCTCCGGCGCCCCTCCTCCCGCTTCTCCGCCGCTCTCCCAACCTCCCCAGCCCACTCCGGTCGCCTCCTCCCAGTCTGCATGCCACGCCAACCCCCTCCAGTCCCGCTGCCATTTTAACTCCTGAGTGGCCGGAGGCCCCTTCTGCCTAACACGCACGCACCCCAGAGGAAGGAGCTGGGTGGGGCCGGTGCTGAAGCTGAAGCCGGAGATGTCCTTGTGCATTTAGACCCAAGGCTTGGCTGCGAGAGGGAGAAGGGGCATTGCCCCCGAGTCTGAAGGGAGAAGCGAATGGCTTCTCTGATTCTTCCTCTGACCCTCTTGCAAAAGCCAGGAGGTCAGATGGGATATTCAGCAGGTTTTAGAGGACAGGTGGTGCAGCTGTCCCAAAGTTAACTGTAGACTACGGAATGTGGGTGGATTAGAATGCACCTGTGGGCATAGGCACCCCTCACCCTAAAAAGCATGGAATGGGATAGCGGGAGTTCTCCTGCCTTTCCTCTATTGCTTCCTGAGCTGGGCAGCTTTGTCATTCTGGAAGATCACATCCTGGTGCTCAATAAAGGAGGTCAGTCTCAGTAAGTCTGAAGCAGGGACTGGCAGGCCGGCTAGGGGCTTGGTTGTGGGGTTTCGCACCCTGCAAGCTGAGCATCATGAAGCCCATCTGTGCAGAAAGTAGGTGCTGGGCTGCTGCCTGGTGGCTTGGAAAATTTGGGTCACTGCCACTAGTGGGGCTTTAGAGTATGGTTTTCCTGCAGGGACAAAGACTTCTGGCTCAGGTCTTTGAGGGGCATTCAGCCTGTGCCACTCAGAATGGACACCCAGGAGGTCAGCTTCCTGACAGTCTGCACATTATTGATGGGCTTGACCAGGCAGGGCCTGCAGATCCAACAATGGGGGAGGTGGAAACCAAAGTGTGAGGAGCCTGCAGGGAGTGGCATCCCAGGGCTGCCTTCTTTTACCCAGTGCTTGAGCTTTGTCCCCCTGTCTAGACCCGGACCCAGCCTTCTGGCCCTGTCTTTTCCAAGGGCACCATGGCAGTCCTTGCCATGCTTGGAGACTTTGTGAAGTAGGCCCAAGGTCTTTGCCTTCCTCATGCACAGAGGTTTGCAACTTCATAATAAGCACATATTAAGTTCCCACTGAACCACCCCCAAGTTCCCACCCTCCACCCCTGCTGCCTGGAGTAATGGCCTCAAGGAGCTGAGAGGGACAAGTTGCAACTACCAAGAACAAAATTTAACATTTCAAGGCAATGGAAGTGCCATAGAAATACAGGAAGAAAATGCCATATGGGCTCCGGTTATTCACAGAGGACTTTATAGAGCAGCTGAGCTTCCAACTGAGCCCAGCTAGAGGAATAGGATTTGAGCTGGTAGAGAAAATGGGGACCAGCAAGGCAGGAAAGTGGACACGCAGAGTAGAATGGGTTGTCTGGAAGGTAGGGAGCAAGGGAGGACGTTTAGGGAGGTATGATGAGGTCTCTTTTCACAGATCTCTCATCTTACCCTGAGTTGACTTACGACCCAATTTAACAGACCAGAGAATGGAGGTTCAGAGGGTTTAAGGAAGTAGCCCAGTCTTCAGGCAGAACTTGAGCCCTCACCTTGCAGTACTCTTATGATGCTACCCTTGGATATGCAGAGTGGGATTCCCTGAAGAGGGGCCGAGGTCCCAGCAGTGTAACTGTGGCCTGCAGCCCAGTGCACCACTGGTGAAAGGGATGAAAGGGGCAGGCAAACCAGAGACCAGGAAGGTTGTGGGGACATAGGAGGAAGAGGGGAACAGTGTGGGTAGAGAGCCAATGCCACAGGTCACAGCAAGGAAGGCTTGGCGGAACTAATTGAGTGAGAGGGTCCGAAACTTGACTTCATGCTTTTGAGTGTGAGCCTGTGGATTCCCTGTCAAGGGAGCCATCTTTCACTTGAAGGTCAATGTCAATGTATCCAGATGGATTGTGGAGAGGAAGAAAGTTTGTCACCCCTTCACAGCTCAATGACTGGGCTGTCATTCACACCCAAATACCTGTGCCCCATCTCCCAATACCTGTGTATACCACCTGTGTCTCCCAACCAGAAGGTAAGCTTCTGAAGGCCGAGACTATACCATATAGCACGGAGATGAGACTAGGACCTTATAGTAGATGCTCAATGACTGATTGTTGAGAAGACGAATGGGGTGAAAGCAAATAACATTTAAAGTGGCTGATCCCTGAGTGACAGACCCTGTAACACACAGGGTGAGGCACGAAGAAATTGTATCAGCTGTGGAGAGAGAATGGGGGAAGCCTGCCCTTGAGTGGACTCCAGGTTTCCTGCAACCCAATGGGACTGATCTAAGTGCAAAGGTTTTTGAGTCAGAGAGATCTGGATTTGAAACTCTGCTTGTCCATTTACTCTGTGTTGCTTCGGGAGAGGTATGGAACTTCTCTGAGCTCTGATTCCTGTGTAGAAAATATTCATTCAAGCAATAGCTGTCAATAGTGACTGAGCATCTTCTTCATGCAAGGGTGATGATCTTATTTATGCCTCATCTCATTGAAAACTCTATCCACCCTAGGACACTGGAAATAGGAGAAAAGCAAGGTCAACATCACTAATACATAATAGAGCTGAGGTCTGAAATCAAGGCCATTGGATGGCAGAGTCCAAACACAAAGCCAATTCCCATGTTGCACTTCTTCGGGATGAGGGTAGCACTGAGGGTACTAATTCCTATTCATAGCATTGTTGTGAGGTGTGACAGAGGCTGCATATGTCTGGTAGTGAACACGGAGCCTGGCACACAGAGCATCTCAGTAAATGGTAGTCGTCTCCCAACCCAGCTCCTGCGGCTCCCATTCTGAGCCAGATCCCTCCCCAGGAAAAGCTGGGGACTCAATCCACAGTGCTTTGGAAGCTGGCAGGTAATTACTCAGAAAATTTAATGGCCTTGTTATTGACCTTTTGCCCTCCAAGTTTAATCTCTGGGCTTAGCCAAGCATAATGTCCTGCCAGGAAACCTGGGACTCTGTGACATCAGAGCGTCTCGGGAGAGGGATGCCGAATTACATGCCCCTAGAAATAGTCCTCTGCTCAACTGCCCTTGACTCTTGAGGGTAGGGGTCAGGACGATGAACCAATGGGATTGCTGTTTTGGGTGGTGGGGGCTGTAAGAAGAGGAGGGCTCTTCCTGGAGCCTGGCAGATGAGCCAGGACAGAGGAGGGAGGCTAGGGATGTGGCTGGCACTTCCTCTTAGCAGATCTTTCACTGCTAGATGCAGCCTCTGCTCAGCCCCTGCCTCAAGAGATACATGGTGGGGCTGGGGCTGGGACTCCTTGGTAGAGCGCTCGCCTAGCATGCGTGAGGCCCTGGGTTCGATCCTCAGCACCACAGAAAAATAAAATATTGTGTCCACCTATAACTAAAAAATAAATATTAAAAAAAAGGAGATACTTGATGGGTCCTTGGGAATCATTGAGGACTGTTGTCCCACCAAGGGAGAGTGTGGCTCTAGAGAACATTAGAGTCACCTAGAGAAAGTGCAAACGCAGGCTCCGAGTTCCAACCCCAGAGTCAGGTTCTGTAGCTCTTGGAGTGTGCATTTTGGATCCGCTGTCCAGGTGATTCTGCCTCAGTGATTGGATGGACCTTGCTTTGAAATGTGCGTGCCTGGGGGTGCCCATTGCTCTCTGACCTCTCCCTGCCTGGCTCCCTCTGTGCAGAGACTTGTCTTCTGAGCTCTTGAGAAACAAATGACCCCAAGAACAGAGTCTTTGACTGAGGCAGATACACAGTGAAACTAATGAAGCTTAAGCTTTGGGGTTTCTCACTTGTTGGGTGGCCGGGAGGTTTAGAGTGTTCTATGTGGGGAGGGAAACACAGCTTGTTAGCAGTAAGTGTTTCTGATAAAGAGACGTCAGGAGAATTTCCAAGGCGGTATGTAAATTGTCGTAATCTTCTTTCTAGTTCTAAATAAATATCACCACTAGGGACTCTTCCCCTGACCCTGCCCTCAGGAGCTCCCAGGATTCACAGACACCCTGGGACCACACAGAACCAGAAAGGCAGAAGGATAAACAAATACTGCAGAGGGAGAGCTGTGTGGAACTGCAGGGAGTCCTCAAATTTATCTTGGGTCATATTCCTGGAAAAGACACTGCAGGTAAAAATGATGTAGGATTGAATCTGGTTTTGCCCAGAAACAATGTGATCATGGAAATTACATTCCTCACCAAGGTCCTGCTGCCCAGCTTTTAGGGCATCAGCATAAACCATAAATAGCACATTTAATCAACTGTAAATGATACACCTGTACTTTGTATTTCTTAAACTGAATTTGAATATCTAAGACAGTTAAAGCTAGGCAATATGGTAACCAAACCTCATTGTATTCAATTTAACATATTTGAGAGATTCCCAGAGGAAATGCTAGTTTGAGGAAAGGAGCATGGGAACCCTGGAGTGAATCTCCTTCTCCCATACAGACCCCACATAAGCAAAGCCAGAGGCTCTCAGAGGTCTGGAGGTGGGGACAAGGGCTCTGTGCCCCGTGGCACATCTAAAAACAGACCAACCACTTGCAAAGTGTAAATCTCTTAAGTTCAAGGCTGCCACATGCACACCAGGAGTGGGAGACATCTAAGGGGCTCTGAATTAGAGTGTTCCTTGTGCTGAGATAGAAGGACTTTCTGGAGGAGGGAGTTTTTCAGAGGATATTTGAGGGCAGGGAAGAATGGTTAGGTTTCTGAAGAAGTCAGTTCCAGAATCCCTTGATCTGACTTCTGACCCTCCTCACTGTAACCCACAGGTTGTCAAGAAGACTTTGTCCCCAAGTGCTCATCACCCACCTACCCTCTACTTGAT